CCACTGGGAGAGGACACAAGTCCAGTCTGAGTATACATTCAAAGGACAGTACAAAGTCAAGGTCCTAGCAAGTGAGAGGCTACAGGAACTAGACCGAGCTGTACACAGTGCTGCTGATGATCTTTAGGCGCAAGAGCCTTCGTAAAGATATCAGCCGTGTTGGCACCTGAGGCCAAGTGTACTACGCGAACCTGATGTCGCTGCTGTAGCTCACGCAGGAGGAAGTACCGCAGCTGAATGTGCTTCGCTCTGCCCTCGAGTCGAGGCTCCTGACACAGGAGGATCATGGCCCTGTTGTCAGCGAACAGGACCGGGGCAGAGCTAGGCCGCTCACCTAAGTCAGTGAGCAAGAAGGTCAGCCAGCGGAGCTCCTGTGCCGCCATGGCACCAGCGTAGATCTCAGCCTCACAGCTGGACTGCGCAACAGATGAGGAGCGGGTAGCTCTCCACGAGACGGAACCTGAGCCAAGGCTGAAGCAGTAGCCCTGGGTAGACCTGAGTGTCTCGGCGTCGTCTGCCCACGAAGCGTCTGTGTGTCTAGTAAGGACCACTGGCCTGCGTCCTCCTAGCACTAACCCTATGCCCGATGTACTAGCAAGATAAGGCAGAACCCTCTTAGCGGCAGACCAGTGCTGCGGTCGGTGTCTGCCTGTGGCCACAAAGCGAGGCAGGATGCTGAGAGGGTATGCGAGATCTGGGCGAGTGCAAGTCATCAGGTACATGAGGCAACCCACCAGCTCTGCGTAGGGGCCGCTGGGCTCTACCAACTCCTCAGACACTGGAGCGGAGAGTCTGTGGTCTACAGGCAGAGGGGTGGGCTGTGCAGAGGAGAACTGAAGGCTGGACCTCTGAAGGACCTGGCGCACCAAGTGTGACTGAGTCAGGGTGATGGTGCGCGATGCTCTGTCCCTGGAGATCTGCAAGCCAAGGTAGCGGCGCAGTTCTCCAAGGTCAGTGCACGTGTGTCTCTTCAGCAGCTCTGCCTTCACGGAGGCCAGTGCGTCCCTGTCTGCTATGGCAAAGACCAGGTTGTCGACGTAAACAAGGATGTAGAACGGAGTCTGGCCAGCACGAACGAAGAGTGAAGGGTCTGCGGAAGACGGAAAGAACTGCATGTCAGCAAGCGTAGCACGGAGAGTGTCGTGCCACTCACGGGGAGCCTGGCGCAGGCCGTAGACGGGGCGCCGCAGGAGCCACTGGGTCCCAGGAGGGAAGGTGCCAGTAAAGCCCTGAGGGCGACGTAAGTAGACCTGCTCGTGTAGGCTGTCCTGAAGGAAGGCAGTGGAGAAGTCCGTGGAGAGAACCTGGGAGACCAAGGACAAGACCGTGCTGGGACATGTGACGCAGACGCGGGAGCGCAGGGTGACCTAGACGGTGGTGCCAAAGGAGGGTCGGGTGAGTGAGGGACCGACAGGAGCAGGCGTCAGCAACCTGGGTGAGCGCTCCAGCCGGGGGGGTCACGGTGTCCAGAGTGAACATGCCGGACACCGGGTCCCGGGGGAACGTGGACAGGGGGGCACCAGTGGCGGCCTCGGTACAGACAGCATACCGCTCGTGACCAGGGAACGTAGTGGTGACGCCAAGGTCCTGGAGGCAGCCGACACCAACTAGGTTCCTGGAGAACGAGGGGATATGCAGACCTGTGAGAGTGCCCGAAGGAACCGCTGGACAGGGAAGGGTGGTAGAACTGCGGGCGACTACCGGACCGCCGGAGGGGTCAGCAAGAGAAACGGCAGCAGGAACAGGAAGCGGCGTCAGGGTGGTGGAGTCGCGGAAGAAACACCGAGAAGCGCCGGAGTCCAAGGTGAAGGAAAGCGAAGCAGAGGCGGCTGGCGACGGAACGACGGCGGAAGCACCAAGACTACACAAAGCAGAGGATCCTACGCCTGACGCAGCAGGGGAGGCTACGCTAGGCACATCTACACTAGGCAATAGTGAGTAATAAGCTGGAAGCACACTAGAGTCATCAGCATACATGACATGCAGAGCAGAAACAATGGCATCCATGTCCATATCAAAGATCTGAATCTTACGACTAAGCAAACTGTGCCAGTCCGGGAGGTCTGGCGACGGGCCGAAGCGCTGACGAAAGAGGTCGTCCAGGCGACGAAAACAGCGGGGAGTGGAGTGACCGATCTTACCGCAAACGAAGCCGCGGCGAGGACCGGTCTGGATCTGGTACTGACAACGCCCGCCGCCAGAGCCACCACTCGGCACACCACCACGCGCCCGGCCACCGCCAGCGCCGGGCCACCCGGGAGGGAGGACACTCGTCTGCCGTGTCTGCGACGGCTGCTGCAGCTGCTGCGAAGGCTGCGACTGCGGCAGCTGCTGCGGCTGCTGCAAGTGCAGGGGCGGCGGCTCAGCTGGACTGGGCAGGGTCCCCTCGTCCGCTCCAGCACCAGACGACCCGACCCCACCACTACCCCCGCCTCCACCCCACCCCCGCCTCCGCCTCCGCCGCGCCCAACCTTGGGGCGGCGGCCCTTCCCGAACGAAACTGCGGTGAAGCAGTAGTCTCAGCCACTGCGGCAGAGCCGTCGGAGAAGGTACACTGAGCGGGGGCACAACCCTGAAAGATAGGGACCGGCACGACACCGCTCGCCTGGGCGATGGAGCGGTGACGGGTCTCTATCACAGTCAGGGTATCTACAAAGTCAGTGAGGGTGAGGTCTGCGGGGTGAATGCTAAGGAAGCGGTCGCGGGCGACAGCAATGCGGTCAGGGAGGCGGGTGGCAAGCAGGTAAAGGGTAGAGGTAATGGGCGGCTGATGGGCTCTAAGCTGTGCGTCAGTGCAGGCAGCGCGCCAGGTCTCATCTATCGAGCGCAGGTGGGCAGCGAGGTCAGAGACAGTAGGGAAAGATGCAAGGTCAGGAAAGAGCATCGGGAGGATCAGGCGACCCACCGAGGCAGCCGGAGGGGTGGAATAGCGCTGGATGACAGCATCTAAGTATGCCTGAGCAGTGGTGAGGGACCTAAAGCGAGGGCGCTCGGACGGGGGAAGGGCGTTGCTAATGGCAAGCTGGGCGACAGCATCGCGAGAAAGCCAGACAGAGCGCGCGCGGGCAGTGGCAGCAGTAGACTCGCGCTCAGTGGGGGTGGAGTCAGCGGGCAAAATAGCAGGGGGGTCTGGGCAGGGGAGCGTACCGTCAAGGTGTGCGGAAAGCGGTTCACCATCCTGCCGCTGGCCAGTGAGTTGGCGGCGGAGGTCGGCAAGCCACGCCTCGAACTCCAGAGGCTGGCCTTCAGCGTCGAAGCGAAGCTCCGCCGCCATCAGGAACAGTGCAGTGCGGTGCAGGGCAGTGCAGCAAGGTGGAGTGCGGTGCCGTGCGGTACAGTGCGGTGCAGTGCGATGCAGTGCGGTGTAGTGCGGTGCCAGGCAGTACAGTGTGGTGCGGGGCGGTGCAGTGCGGGGCAGTACGGTGCAGGGCAGTGCAGGGCGGGGGGGGAGGGGGGGAGAACCGTACCAGTGAGGAGGACCGGGGCCGGGGCAGGGACGAGCGTAGGGGCCGGGCCGGTGCAACGGGGCCGGCCGGGTGCGACGGGGCCGGGCGGACGCGACGGGGCCGGGCTGGTGCGACGGTGCCGGGCGGGTGCGTCGGGGCCGGGCTGGTGCGACGGGGCCGGGCGGTGCGACGGGGCCGGGCCGGTGCGACGGGGCCGGGCGAGCAGGACGGTGGCCCAGGAGGGGCACGACGGGGCCAGGGAGGGGCGCACCGGGGCTGGGCGGGCGCGACGGGGCCGGACGGGTGCGACGGGGCCGGGCGGGTGCGACGTGGCCGAGCAGGGGGCGACGGGGCCGGGCGGGTGCGACGGGGCCGGGCGGGCGCGACGGGGCCGGGCTGGTGCGACGGGGCCGGGCGGGTGCGACGGGGCCGGAAGGCGTAACGGGGCCCAGGAGGGGGCTCGACGCGGCCCAGGAGGGGCGCTACGGGGCCCAGGAGGGGCGTTACGGGGCCCAGGAAGGGGCACTACAGGGCCCAGGAGGGGCATTACGGGGCCCAGGAGGGGCACGACGGGGCCCAGGAGGGGCGCTACGGGGCCCAGGAGGGGCGCGACGGGGCCCAGGAGGGGCGCTACGGAGCCCAGGAGGGGCGCGACGAGGCCCAGGAGGGGCGCTACGGGGCCTAGGAGGGGCGCGGCGGGGCCCAGGAGGGGCGCTACGGGGCCCAGGAGGGGCGCGACGGGACCCAGGAGGGGCGCTGCGGGGCCTAGGAGGGGCGTGACGAGGCCCAGGAGGGGCACTACGGGGCCTAGGAGGGGTGCGACGGGGCCCAGGAGGGGCGCTACGGGGCCCAGGAGGGGCGCGACGGGGCCCAGGAAGGGCGCGACGGGGCTAGGGGGGGTCGCGACGGGGCTAGGGGGGGGGGCGAGCGGAAGCGGTAGGTGGGGGGGGATCCTAACCTACGCGTGATACCATATCAAAATTAGAGAAGTGAATGTTGGTAGAGTGAGAGTACACACAGATATACCTAAGTGTTGTACCCTCTAAGAGGTGACCCTATACAGTCTATACAAACATGACAAATACACATGTTTGACAGTGGCGTTGCGTCAGCAAGGCGCCGTGGCTTACACGGCGCTGGCTGATGTGCGGGCGAGCTGGCGGCGCCTAAAACGACGCGCTGCGGCGGCGTAGATGCCGCGACGGCACATTAACGCTGCCACGGCACGGCAGCACGACGACGCCGCCACGGCGTGGCAGCTCGGCACGGCAGCGCGTCGGGGCTGCGACGGCAGCACCACGATGCCGCCATGGCAGCTCGGCATGGCCGCTACGGCGGCACGGAAGGGACGACAAGCAAGTCTGATGAATCAGACACCCCCAAAACCAATTTGGGGGCCTGGATACAAGGAGGGGGTTGAACCAAGCCTACAATTATATATAACCTATGTAATTTAACACTTGCAACCCTTTCAATTGGCTCACAGGTTCCCTTGCCCATGATTCTCTCACTTAGATTTGTGAATTGTATGCCTTCAGATGCAACACCAACCTCACCACTTCAACGAGATGCATCAACGAGTATATTAACAATCGAGAATAAGAAAAGAAATTAATATAATGGAGTAACTACCGACACTTGGATGAGCCGAAGAGCATATGTTGTTATTGAGACAGCATCCATTCAGCCAGTGTTCCATCAATAAGTGAAGCATCAGCTGTCGACTGGTGTCTGATGGTCAACAGTCTTATAGGACCAAGCGAAGAATACCAAGCCCAATAGCACTGACGGAAACAAGAGTACCTGCAGCCACAAGCAGCACTACGGTGTAAGGCAATTTGTGTGAAGAGCAACAGGCGTCAATGCAGCAATACCAAGAGATGCTCAAACCACTCCCTATGGCAGCTTACCTATGCAATATCTGATGATTTCAAACTTGGCGCCTTCTAATTCTGCCTTCAGTGTGTTTACCTCCTGGAATACGAACAGGTACAGCCAAGTTCTGCATAAGAAACAGCAGATGATGGTGTTGCAAATCCCAGCAAGTGAATAAACTTTACATACCCTATCCATCTTGTTGGACAAGCTGCTGAGCTCCTGTGTCTGAGCTGTGATCTCTTCCTTGATTCTCCTGCCAAGTTGTGAAACATAAGGGGTGTTACACGGGCTTGCACCAGAGCGAGCATACACCACTTCTGCATGACAATCTAATACATACCCTCTCTCCAAGTTCAAATCAAGACGTTGTCCTGCTGTCACCTTATCCACCTCGTATCTGCAGGTTGACAGTCAGGATAGGAGGAACGAGTTGTTACCAAATGAGCCTACATATCAACGCCATACGTCAATTGGCATGGGAAACCCACCCACCGAATCTCATTCTTCACTTTGTCCAAATCCGTCTTGAGCCCTTCAACCTCCCGAGTCAGTCCAGCAAACTTCAAATCCTGCAGACCACACCTCTCACTTCATGAGCATCCCTCAAGCAGTCTTGTTTGTCAGTAGCATGCCGACGACCACCTTCCACCCCCATGCATCGTCTCGTTTCGGTTCAAAATCCAGGGTTCCTTTTTTGAGTTGCTGAACATGTCCTCTGGTTATCGCTCTCTTACCTGGAGACTCTGGATTTCTGTCTTGACTTTGGCCATGGCTGCCTCCGCCACCATCTCCGACTGCAAGGTGACGAATGGGCAGTTGTTGGAAGCAGATGCATGGATGAATCATGCGTTGGGGTTGTTACATAATTTAGCTGAATGTGGGTAGGAAAAGCCCACCACTACACGTACCTTTTGCATTTCCGGTTTCGAGACGAAGGTATGCGCGGCTGTATCAAGGCTCTCGTGGAGAACTTCTGTGATGAGATGTGTAATAGCTTCAGATTGCTTTGCTGTCAACCCTTCTGCCTCCAGCCTTCTCACCTGTTCACAGGAGCGATTATCAGCACTAGTGGAAGAATTGTAGAAGGAATGCAGCGCGATTATGCTTACGGAAGCCCAAACGAGATATACGGCACTCACAAGTGCGAGAGTGTCAACGAGAAACGCTTTTCTTCCGTTAGCGCTAGCTGTGACCATGGTCAGTGTTCGCCTTCCACTGTGAAAGTCTCGTCGGAGCGCTGTTGAGTGGTTCGTCAGATCTTCTGGAGCTGTCAGGGCTTGGTCACTGCTTGGTAGACGCAATCCATACGGCATTACAAGCTCGCTTTGGTTAACAGGAGATCGATGGCTTGCTGATTTGGCTGCGTCGTGGGAAATATGTCTGGACAGTAGAGCTATCGAAAGCGGCCGCAATACGACAATAGCTACACGTCGTCCAATCTGTTGTAGCGTGCCATGGCCACCACTTAACGCCATACGGAGCGTAGTAATAGCTGCACGCCTGTGAGGACGTCCACAATGGAGCAGCTATGGTGGATTTGCAGCTTCTTCCCTAAACTCGCCAAGCTACACGTTCCCGTGATCTCCTTTAGATATCCAAGCGTACCTAGATACTTGCCTCCAGGAGAGAGCACACAAGACTGAAGTTCGCTACCGTCATCGTGGAAAAATGGTTGTGATCACGTATGCTAGTTCTCCCGAATAACTTGAACTATCGGATAAGTGTAAAAAACTCAGCAATGCTATGAGTTCTGATCACGTATGCTGGTTCTCCCAAATAAAGTTGAACTATCGGTTAGCACAAGCTATGGCGATGGAAGGTACTAAAACAAGCTGAGTGACAATCAAGGGATGGGCACAGAATTTGAAAACAGCTGTTCCACTTTCACCAACCTCGGCATTTGGGACAGAGGGGAGGGGGAGGGAGGGGAGCGGAGGGGAGGGGGGGACCACCTCCTCCTCAGCCCAGGGAATAGTAGAGCGTCTCGGAACAAGCCTGTCAAGATTTTTGCGGATGGCTCCCCCAAACGTGATTGTCAGTGGTGCCTGGCCTCCTGGTTGTGCGGCTCGCCCTGGGCATGTCGGTTTGGTCTGGTCTGGTATATTCCGGTACCAAACCCAACCGAACTACACCTAGAGAAACAGAAGTAACAACATTCAGTACGGTAGATTTTGGTCTGGTAGTGTGAATCAAGACCTGACGAAGAACGAAGTGGGTGAGGGCGTGTCCAGCGCGATATTCTACTATTCAGCTGGCGTGACAAGTACAGAATTCAGGCATGGTAACCTGAAAATCCACGTCTTTCACGACTCGCGTAAAAAGTGCGCATTCTTAGCGGATGGTCTCGAACCGTGCCAGCAGTCGTTTTTTGCACGTTTCGAAAGCGGTGGGAAATCGTACCTAGCGCCAGAAACGACAGATCCTGGCTGGCGAAGGAAACCACACCACATCGTCATTTTCGTGCGACTTCTTCAATACCATCTGAGTATTTCGTCAAGCACTTTTTTTTCGCTGCGCAGAGCATTTGTCGTGTCAAAGGCAAGACACAAGGCCGAGTCAAGCATTCTCGCTGCAGTCCAAAGGTGAGCCTCGGGACAGCTACACCCGCCGTAACAATTTTATGAACATGTAGAGAAGACGTTAAAAGTGCGTGTTATGGCAAAGTGGACGTGCTGGACACGCCCTGATCGTCTGCATGCGTGTGGCCAAGAGAAAATGGTCCTCAATTCCGAGGCTTTCCAGAGATCACGCCCGCTGATCGCGAGCACACGTCGACAAGGGTCAGCTGCGATGCTGGAATTCTGTGGCGGCAGACTCTGGTTCAATTGGCTGTTCGCATCCGATGTGGAATCACAATGTGGCATTCTGGATCACCGCTTTAGCATACACCTCCAAGAATACAAGTGAATAGCACGAAGTTGCATCCTGCCTAGGCACTAGAACAAGCATCAAGCCCACAAAATGGATTTACGGTAGACGCACCATCATATGGCTTCCACATTCTTAGTCCACCTTGCAGAAGCACTCTCTAGCTTGCAAATTACCTTCCACATGGTGCTTAAACAGGACATACTTTGTCTAATGGTCATCATCATCATCATCCCCGCCACCGGCCACAGGGGCAACTTTGCAAGAGAAGTCGATGGTTGCATGTCCACTGCAACACACATTCCAGACGGGAAACCCAGAGTTAGAATGCGCCATCAAGACTTCCAGGAAGCCAGCTGTGCTGTGAATTTTCAAACACACACAGATGGAACTTACTAGCTGCCACCATGGAAGGCAAGTGTCTTGCTGTTCGAGGGGGAGTGAGCCCAAATGAGCTTGTTGAGTCCAGTTGGCCTCACAGGAACTGTGCCGCCTCCTGCACCACGGCGAAACCTGCCCACGTAGACAGAGATCCATTGAGAGGGGGGGGGGGTGCGTAAGGGGAAAAGTTGAGGGAGATAGGATGGGAGGGAGCGAGGAAACCGAGGCCATGCGGGGGGGAGAGAGGAGAATTGAGGGGTGCTGATGCAGCATCTCGACCTTTCACTCACATCATCACAGTAGACCCCGTATTCCTCTTAAACACAGTCGCGTAGTTCCCCAGTGAGAATGTTGCAGGCTTCAATGACTGCATCGTGTAACCAGTGATGAGGTAACTGCCGAGCGTGCCGCCCATGCGGTTACCGATGACAGCATCAGCAGGAGCCATCTTGCCATTGTTGGTCCAAGCGAGCGACAGCCAGCCGTTGTTGGCGCCGCTGCCTGGCTTCGCCTCCATGGCCACTTCGATCACCTTGGGAGACACCTGACGCCAGTGCACGAACAGCCTGGTTTCCGGGCCACAGCGGGGGGGGGGGGATCATCGGGGAAGATGTGAGCCAGCGCCAGGAAAACAAGGAAAGGAGGGCTCCAGAACGCCAAGCATTACAAAAAGAAGGGGGAGTCACTGGGAAAAGGCTGGGAACGGCACTTGGTCGGGAAAGCCACTTGATTGGCTTTACTTACAGAGGCTTGAGCTGGACCATGTAGGTGAATCCCGGGTAGGAGGACCAGGGGCAGAGCTTGGAGCGCTGGGAAGGCGGCACAACGGGCACAGGAGGGGAAGGCGACGGCCGGGGGCTGGGCGTCGGACTCTTGGGCGATGCGCCGTTGCAGGAGAAGTCCACCTGCGTGCTGCCACTGGGTGAGGGAAGGGGAGGGGAGGGGAGGGAGAGGAGAAAAGAATGGTGCAGAAATCAGGCTGGATGGTGAAGGTGACCGGGTGACGAGGGGGCTGGGGTGGGGGCAGACAGAGTGCATTATAACGGAGGGATAAAAGGCATGTCAGGAGGGGAATGGGGGACAGGAGGGGAATGGGGGACAGGAGGGGAATGGGGGACAGGAGGGGAATGGGGGACAGGAGGGGAATGGGGAACAGAAGGGGAATGGGGACAGGAGGGGAATGGGGAACATGAGGGGAATGGGTGGAGGACCTTTGCGGGCGTTGTTCCAGGCAGGTGAAAGCTCGGGAAGATGGGCTGAATGAATCACGAGACGATTTTGCAGGGTGTTTTTGAGAATTCTCAAGAAGATGGGGTGAAAGAATCACGAGACGACATGTGACACTGAGCTATCACCGTCGCTCACAAAAACCGCGGGGCTTACATGTTCGATCCATGATAGCCGACTGACTTCCCGCCATTCGGAGAGTACGCCCAGATGAGCTTATTCACCCCCTTCACCCGCACAGGCACCGCTCCCCCGTCACCCACGCTCCTCGAGAATTTCGTGACCGTTCTCCCGGCGCCAGCGACGCAGCTCTTGGCGCCGAGCTTGATGGCGCTGGTGGGCGTCACTGTGGAGTAGCTCGCCACGCGGTACGCGGAGACCCCGCTGCCCGCGAGGTTCCCCACGACGGCGTCGGACGGCGCCATGAGCCCGTTGAACGAGAAGGCGACCGACACCCACCCGGAAGCCGCGGCGCCCGTGGCCTCGACCGCGAAAGGAATGGTTTTCCCGTCGTTAGCGGCGTTCCAGTGCAGGACGACGCTGTAACGGGGGGAGGGGGGAAAGGGGGAATGCCGCACACGGGGAGAGGGGAGGAGCGGATTGGATGAGAGAGGGAGCATGAGGTGGAGCAGTAGCTCGCCACGCGGTACGCGGACACCGCATTGCCCGGGAGGTTGCCAACGACGGCGTCGGAGGGCGCCATGAGCCCGCTGAACGAGAAAGCGACCGACACCCACCCTGCCGCCGCGGCGCCCGTGGCTTCCACGGCGAGACGGGTCGTTTTTAGCCGTTGTTGGCGGCGTTCCAGTGAAGACGACGCTGAAACGGGCGGAAGGGACTCTCGAAGAATGTCGCGGGAGGAAGGGAATGGATGAGAGGGAGAGGGATTATTTGCGGCTGATGGCGGCGTTCCGATGCAGGACGACGCTGTAACGGGGGGGAGGAGAAGCACGCCGCGAAGGTAAAGGGAATAAATACTAGTCCCGCGAGCTAGTATGCGAGTACTACTACACGCTGCGTCTCTCCGCCGATCTCGAACGGAGTCCGTTCGTTGACGTGCATCGCCACATTTGATGCGACGCGGCAGGTTTCAGCGACGAAGGCTTCTTCGCTGAGCGAAACACTTCTTCGGCTTAAAAACCGCCGACGACGCTGCCAGCGCGACGAGATGTTTTTCCGACGCCCAACGCAATATTTGAGTTTGGAGGACAGCTATGGATAACGTACTTAGGGGCGAGTTTGAGAGCGGAGGTGTATCCAGCCATGGCGGACTTGCTGCACGTCGACAGCGCGCCCGCCACAGCCGTTGCTATCGGCGCCGTTTTCGCCGCGGGGGCGGCGGTGACGACGGCGGTGGCGGCGGTGGCGGCGATGGGGGAGCTAGTTGCGGCGGGGAGGGATTGCTGGGCGGAGGCGAAAGACAGAGTCGACAGGAGCAGCAAAATCGTCGCGGATTGGCGCACCGTCACGCGGTACTGCTGCTGGGACGTCGTCTTGTCAGCGGTTCCAGCCATGGTGGAGAAGGCGAGCTTAGAGCTGCGCAAGCGAGAAGAAGCGAGTTGTAGTAAGAGTGTGCTGGGTGGGTTGCTTCGCCTCGCCTCGCCTGACACACAGCTGAACTCTACCTCCCACCGTCGCCTGAACTGACTCAACTCGGCACAAGCTAAATTGCGCTGAAATGAATGAGTCTTGGGTGTTGGAAGCGCAATAAGTATGTGCGACGGTTGGGTAAGGAAGAACCTGGGTGGCGTGGAGGCGAGGAGGGGAAGCCGAGACTGATGAACAAGCTTGGGTCGTACACAAGCCATGGTCGGTGCGGTGGTGTGGTGGTTCATTTCGGGACTCCGGAGCAGCACCCTGGTTCCATTGGCTCGGTTTGGGTGATACAGAAGAGCAGGTAGTGGAGCGCGACGCGCTACCGCCAGGGCGCCCCCACACCAGGCCAGGGCGTGCATTCCCGAATCACTAATGAGGGAGGGAGTTTCCATTCTACCGAGCCTAGATGGACTCAGCTCCCGCGGTCTGCATCAGGCTCATGCCTTGTGGAACCAAGCTTGCGACACAAGCTTAGCAGCAGCCCCTGACGTCGCTGAACGAAAAAGGCTGCCGTGATCACAAATCGAGGCGTGACGAATCAGCAGCAGGGGGCCGGCTAGGGGCGGACGTGAAACTTATAACGGAACACGCTGACACACTTCGAATATGACGTGTCCTGGTCTGGGTGGCCACATCTCTTGCTCTCCTTGTCGGTGAGCAGCAAGGTGAACACCAGCCTCTCAGACAGCCACATACATCATGTTGTTCAACTTCCCAGAGATTTCGAGGAATTTGGTGTACACCACAAATACATATGTATGTGAAGAAAAACCATCCCTTTGTCTGCATGTAATTTCTCTACAAACTTTACACGACGTCAAAATGTGATTTACGTTTGTATGTTCACCGAAACAAGTGGTGACGTTGATGTAGTTCAATCTTCAAAATCTCGCAGCCAATTAAAATGTACCACCACGCGTACAATATAATTCCGATGTTTCCATAGCATGCAAGATGCATGCGAACTAATTTTCAGTGTCTTGACATTTTGCAACTTAGTGCTGTATGTTCTCATCCGCAAGGCTTGCTGTAGCTCCACAGCTCGTAACTGTAACAATTAACTCGCTAGTTTCGCGGGCCTCGCCATGCTGGTTCCTATGTGCACGAAAGAGAGGACGAGGAATGAGGTCCGCATACCTTTTCGATGGCTGCGAGGGGAGAGCGAACGAAAGCATCCAATTCCACGTGGACTGATTTCCCCTTACGTGGCATAGCAGACGGTTCCTCGGGTAACCACAAGCCTAAGTCAAAGGTAGGGCACCGTGACAGATCAGTTGTCCTCACAAGCAAGGTCCGATACTTGTGGTGCTCCTCGTGTGGGTCATTTTGTTCGGGGAGTGCCTAGTAGGCTCGGGCCACGTCATCCAGTCGAGGGATTGGCGGCCCTCCATCAGTGGATCAGGCTTGCCCAGACCACAGCTTCTTTGGCATCTCCTCCTGGCACTCTGTTTGGTTTGCCATTTCCTCCTTACACTGGCAGCCCCTTCTGTCAGTGATTCTGGAGAACATTTCTCAAGGTAGCTCAGTCACTTACCAACCATGGCTGCCGCTCTCTCCAGCTCCGTGTCTGCTGGCATTCAGACCAAGGCACTTGGCCTCAAGGCCGCTGCCCCCAAGAAGAGCGTTGGTGCATTCGGCAGTGAGATGCACAGCGCCTCCCTGAGCAGCACCTTCTCAGGCAAGCAGATTGCCGCTAAGGCCTCCAGCAGGTCCCACGCTGCAGGCAAGAGGACCGTCCTCGTTGTTTGCAAGGCCGCCGGTGAGAAGACTGTTGTGGTTGGACTTGCCGCGGATTCAGGATGCGGGAAGTCCACCTTCATGAGGCGTATGACTGGTGTGTTCGGTGGCTCTGCTGCTCCTCCCAAGGGTGGCAACCCCGACTCCAACACCCTCCTTAGCGACATGACCACCGTCATTTGCCTCGATGACTATCACTCCCTTGACCGTAATGGCCGTAAGGAGGCCAATGTTACCGCTCTTGACCCCAAGGCCAACAACTTCGACCTGATGTACGAGCAGGTCAAGGCTCTCAAGGAGGGCAAGTCCGTCATGAAGCCCATCTACAACCACGTGTCTGGTCTTCTGGACCCCCCGGAACTGATCGAGTCCCCCAAGATTCTGGTCATCGAGGGTCTGCACCCCATGTATGTAGTTTCCACATTTATCCTACGGGTTTGCAGCAAGTGCGTATCCCACAAACCGATTGACAGAAGATTGCGTTTTGTCTTTCAGGTATGATGAGCGCGTGCGTGATCTGATTGACTTCAGCATCTACCTTGACATCAGCGACGAGGTCAAGTTTGCCTGGAAGATCCAGAGAGACATGGCTGAGCGCGGCCACAGCCTGGAGAGCATCAAGGCCTCCATCCAAGCGAGGAAGCCCGACTTTGATGCTTACATTGGTAAGCATTGGTCACATTTCGTTTCTTCCGGACTTTCTGCCCTACGCGTTTACCTGTCTACACTTGATTTTTGCTCCCATGTTATATCCAGATCCCCAGAAGCAGCACGCCGATGTTGTCATCCAGGTGCTCCCCACTCAGCTCATCCCTGACGACAACGAGGGCAAGATCCTACGCGTGCGCATGATTCAGAAGGAGGGTCTCGACAACTTCGACCCAGTGTACCTGTTCGATGAGGGCTCCAGCATCTCATGGATTCCCTGCGGAAGGAAGCTGACATGCTCATACCCTGGCATTAAGTTCTACTATGGCCCTGACACCTACTTCGGCAATGAGGTACGACCATCTTTTTCTTTTTCTTTTCCAAACACGGAAAGAAGTTACCATTGTACACGGACGCACTCAATGTTCTGCAAACATTTTCACACTACTCCATCTTGCAGGTGTCTGTGCTGGAGATGGATGGTCAGTTCGACAAGCTTGAGGAGCTGATCTATGTGGAGAGCCACTTGAGCAACACCTCCACGAAGTTCTACGGTGAGGTCACCCAGCAAATGCTGAAGAACTCCGACTTCCCTGGCAGCACCAACGGCACTGGCCTCTTCCAGACAATGGTTGGACTGAAGCTCCGTGAAGCGTATGAGCGCATCATCTCCAAGTCGGCAGTTGCTGTGTAAACCTGTAATGCTTTCTAAGGAAATTCTTATCAGACTACAAGGTCTGCTTCTAGTTGAAATCAATCACGCCCGTAAGAATGCAAACGCTGGGGTTACTGTTCTGCTGTTATCCCACGGGTAAACCCTGTAATAAAGCTTGTGGATGAGCACGTGGATGAACTTGTGGGAAAACTGCTGCAGATACCCCCTAAGTTAGGCATGTCATGGTTTTAAAAATTAGGGCCAGGCACGGGAGCCTCTTGTCAAATGTAACTTAGGTCGTTACTGTAGACTATACTGGATTGTGCCTTAGAGGGTATAACACCCTAGTCTATATATCCTTGTACACACACATTCTAGTTCAATCATTCTCTTTCTAATATGGTATCATAGTAGGTTAGATCCCCCCCTAGCCCGTCACGCTTCCGCCCCTACGTTCCTAGCCGGCCCCCTGGCCGTAGCGCTCGTCCCTAGCCGGGCCCCTGGTCGTTCGCTCCTGTCCCTAGCCGGCCCCCTGGCCGTCGCGCTCGTCCCTAGCAGGCCCCCTGGCCGTCGCGCCCGTCTCTAGCTGGCCCCCTGGCCGTCGCGCCCGCTCCTAGCCGGCCCCCTGACCGTCGCGATCGCTCCTAGCCGGCCCCCTGACCGTTCGCGCCCGCCCCTAGCCGGCCCCCTGGCCGTCGCGCTCGTCCCTAGCCGGCCCCCTGGCCGTTGCGCCCGTCTCTAGCTGGCCCCCTGGCCGTCGCGCCCGCTCCTAGCCAGCCCCCTGACCGTCGCGATCACTCCTAGCCGGCCCCCTGACCGTCGCGCCTGTCCCTAGCCGACCCCTGACCGTTCGCGCCCGCCCCTAGCTGGCCCCCTGGCTGTCGCGCTCGCCCTTAGCCGGCGCACTAGCCGTCGCGCCCGTCTCTAGCTGGCCCCCTGGCCGTCGCGCCCGCTCCTAGCCGGCCCCCTGCCCGTCGCGATCGCTCCTAACCGGCCCCTTGGCCGTTCGCGCCCGCCCCTAGCAGGCCCCCTGGCCGTTCGCGCCCGTCCCTAGCCGGCTCCTTGGCCGTTTGAGCCCCTCCTAGCCGGCGCCCTGGCCGTTTCGCGCCCGCTCCTCGCAGGCCCCCTGGCCGTTTGCGCCCACCCCTAGCCGTCGCGGATGCTTCTAACCGCCGTTGCGGCTGCTTCCCGCCGTCCCTCGGCCGCCCCTAGTCGTCCCGGCCGCCCCTCGCTGTCGCGGCCGCCCCTAGCCGCCGCCGCTGCCGTCTCCAGCCGCCTCACGGTCGCTCCTGCCGTCGCGGCCGCCCCTCGCCGCCGTCGCGGTTGTCCCTGGCCGCCGTCGCAGCTGTCCCTGGCCACCGTCGCGGCTGCCCCTGGCTGCCGTCGCGGCTGTCCCTGGCCGCCGTCGCGGCCGTGTCTAATCGCCGCCCGCCGGCCGGCCCCTGCATTCGCGCCGTCGCCGGCCCGCCGCTGCCTCGGGTTCGGCCCGTTCTTCCCAATCAGCACTGCCCTCCGAACCCCCCCCGGTACCGTACTGCACCGCTTTGCACCGCATTGCACCGCACTGTACCGCACTGCACCGCACCGTACCGTACTGTACCGCACTGCACCGCACTGTCCTACTCTACATTGCCCTCTATTGTCTCTCATGGCGGCGGTGCTTTGCTTTGACGCTGAGGGCCAGCCGATTGAGTTTGATGCGTGGCTTGCTGACCTCCGTCGCCATCTCACTGGTCAGCGGCAGGATGGCCATTCGCCGTCTGTCCATCTTGATGGTACCCTCCCCTGCCCTGACCCCCCCGCTGCACTGTCTCCTGACCCCTCGTCCGCTAAGCGTGAGTCCGCTGCAGCCGCTGCCCTTGTTCGCTCTGGCTGGCTGTCCCGTGACGCTGTTGCATAGCTTGCTATTAGCAATGCCCTCCCCCTGTCCAAGCGACCTCGCTTCAGGACTATCACCATTGCCCAGGCTTTCCTAGATGCTGTTGTCCAGCGCTATTCCACCCCGCCTGCTGCCTCGGTTGGTCGTCTGATCCTCCCCA